CGTTTTCCGCATTGACAAATGAGAGGTATTCCGTCGATTCGTTTTTACCGTGAAATTTCTTTCCCTTGGAGAAATGGGAAAATAGGATCGATATCACTTCAAACGCTGCGTTTATTTAATGATCGCGGAATTTCGCGTAATTTGGGTTGAACTGCGGATTGCGGCGTCGCATTACGGCGGGTTTTCTTCATCGTTGCATAGCTTTTTGCTTTCAAGGAAATTAAATTTCTACTCTGATAAATTATCCGGCCCTCCCAGCGCTTTTCTATCGTCCCTCTCGCTACTCGACGTTTCGTGTCGCGTTCCGCTTTCATGCATTTTCAGATACCAATTACGTTATTGCTTCATGTTATTTCATCACTCCGCGCTTCGAAGCCGGGTTTGTACTCCCCATTTTCATTACTCCATTATATATTACGACAATAGCAGCATTTATTAAAATAAAACCAATTTGCGCGTGCTTATTGTTATTTTTACGTGTAATTGCAGCGCGGATGAGTGAATATTTTTGCAATAATTCGCCTCGCCGTGAATACGTTGCGAATAATCCAACGATACCATCGTCGTTCTCACAAAATTGAATCCCCCCAAATTGAATTGAAACTATCGCTTCACGATACCGATATCAAAGGTCTCGAAATGGTTCCGCCATTGACCTACTTGCCATAGTGAAACCGATACATGCGAATCGAGTGTAGCACATAATCCAATGATCTGCCAATAAGAACATGAATAGTTTTCAAATCTACGCGACGTCGATACGTGCATTGTAACATTTAAATATTTATTATATCATTTCTTCATAATTGTTCCATTTTACTACTGATATTAATTAATGTTTTGTTCCAATAATATTACAATTTTAAACCCGCTATTTTCAGTTACAGTGTTATGTGACAGAAAAATAGGTGGTTACACGTTCGTGTGAAAATATACAGTAACTCCGTGACTCTTGGGAAATCATGGCATCCATTACTCACGACAGAACGTCTCAAAAGACAAAAAGAAACATTTTGTGCATCTGTCAACGACCAGTGCGTCTCATGCTCGCTGCGCTATTTTTAATTTAGAGATTTTCCGATGAATCTTCGACAAATTCTTCTTCAGCAAATAATCTTTGAGATATTTCTTATTTGTGTTAAAAGGATTATTAAGCAATAGATGCAGGGTTCTAGTAATCTCGCGGCGCGATAATAGCAGCCATCAAGTATAGCAGATTGACAACCCTACACTGACACTGTCGTCGCCTTATATACGATCGCGTGCGCGGTATACGTCGGTTGACAATGCCAGTGTAAACAACCCTTAGTGGCTATAACATCGTGACAGAATGTCGGCCCTTCGACCGGTAACCTGCATTCTACGCGGTGTGCTCGTAACGACCCTGTTGGCCGCACGATAACTTTAAGGTTACTGCCACCACTTACATTTCGCCATGAACGACGCTGCTTACTCGCCGCTGTGACTACTGCCACTGATTGCGAATGAAACACTGAACACGCGCGAGTTAGCGCGGAATAAAAGAAAATGTAGAGTGAATTTATTTTACTCACTTTACCCGCGCGATAAGGGTGGAATTATTTCTACAAACGACTTTCTGTTAATTACCTTCGCATATAGCTCGGGCAATCTTGATTCTGGCACCTGCGGGGTGAAATTGTGATAATACCTAGTGTGAAATAACGTTAATGCGGCACCATTATTATAGCGCCATTTACATCGTGCTACAGCATGATTAACATCAAGGATTATATAAATCATGATTTTAAAAAGTTCAACTACGCTTAAAAATGCGTGCTTTTTTATCATCGAGAATATTTATTAAAATTATTTTTTATTTTAATTTTTAATTCTTCTGAATTTTATCTGTCAGATTAAGATGTTTTATTTTTTAATTTATTAGAAAAAATATTTCCCATCATGTGCAATAATCTTAAATATCGTTATTATTTTCTCAAATATAATATAGGAAAATTAACAATATATGATGCATGTATAATGTGAAGGAACAATGCAATCTCTGTATTTACAAACGTCTGTGTTTATTTGTCCGTAGGCACTTTCTCACGGCGCTCCGAGTGAAAACGATACGATATGACGGATGAAGTCTCTAATATCCAGTAAAGTCAGCGTGCAAACTAAGGCAGAGGTGGCAGCGGTATGAACACGCGGGCGGATTATGGACGGTTGCGTGGTCCGCGTGCGGCCCCTAGCGAGCGAGCGAGGTTTAGGCGCGTGCGAGCCGGATTTATGACCCCCATTATGACGTTGACGTATCGCCTTCGTGAGGGCGACCTAAACCAAACCCAAGGCGAATCTAAGCCCCGTGTATCTAAGCCAACGGCTAGCCACAGGTCACCGCGACCAGTGCGAGAATACTTCAGACTAATCCTGCGGCTCACCATATCTGCGATAGCTCCAACTAGCATTGAGTTTCATTATCTTGACGTTTGATTTGTACATTTTTGTCTTGATACCTTTTTTATTTCGTTCTTCAAAACTTAAAAATTTTTTTTCAATTAAATAACATGCAAAATTATTCTTTACGCCAGCAACGATATTTCGGACATATTTAAATTTGACATGAAAAAAATTAATATTTCTTATTTTGCGACAATATTCTGTTAGGATTTGGTGGTCCATTTAGATAAAAGAACAGACACATCGAAAAGTCAAGAACATCGAATTAACGGACCCCGAATTGTTGTCGAGTTGCACAAGCGGCGTAATCTCAGCGCGCCACGAAAATTATTGGCATCTTCCGTTCTATAATGGTTGTCTAGCGCCGCAATAAAGCGATGAGAGAAGGGAACGGGGGAGACAGTGTGTGGCGCATTCACGATTTAAAGGGCGTGCGAACCCGCTTTTACGCGTCGGATGCGAAACCCCGATTCAATTTATATCCTCTGGCCGCGCGCTTCCTGTCTGCGGCACACACGTCTTTTGGGATTGCACCACTTCGTCCACTTCCGGGAAATCCCACCCCCGCTTTTCCTCTTTCTCTATAAAATACGACGATGATTCTATCGGCAGCGAGCGTCGCGACGATTCACAGAGGGTGGGAGAGTGACGCAAATAAATCGCGTTGCAAAATGGACCGGGCGGTGTTATAGTGGTCGACGTCACGCGTCGGTGAGTGTCAAAACACCGTGGAGGAGCTGCAGCTACGACGCATTAAAGGGAACCCAGTTAATGGACAAACGAGATCGCGGATCGACCACTTAAAAGCAGTCATTCCCGAAGAAATCGTCAAAGTGAATCGAATATCGTTAAAGTTTCGAGAGAACAAAATAATATTGCATCTTATATATTGTGAATATCTTATTTTTGCAATCGTTTTACGAGATTAAGTCTAGTAAAATTCTATTCCAGCGTTGCGCACTGTATCTCTATCGCAACTTCATTGATATTGCAAGTCGATTCTTTTGCGAGCAAGATTGAGTTCTCGGATACGCGATCAGGGAACCGTACGGAGTTTTACATTGCCGCGTATATGTAACTATAAGAGCCGAGAGACAAACGACGGCGGTTATCTACGGAGCTTGGAAAAAGCAGAGAGAGAGAGAGAGAGAGAGAGATAAGGCTAAAACGAAATAAGTAAATTCTGATAGAGGAAGGAAAATAGAGTAGCGTAGGAAAGAGGCGAAAGAGGCCGTAAAAGCGGAGCTGGAGTAAGAAAGATGGGACGAAAACATCGATTGCAGGGGCTTGTAACACCGCGGTACGAACAGAGGGATCAAGCCGAGCGATAAACCAAGCGGCCTGGAAAATGCCGGATCAACGGTACGATGTTTCAGCAAAAACTGTCTGGAATCGGAACAGCCCCGGCTCAAAGAGAGAAGACGCGGACGGGAGAGAAGGGAGGGAGGGAAAAGCGCTCGCCAGGGTGGGATTGAGAACCGTAGAGCTCTCTCGTGGCTTCTACCTATACGATTTCTCCCTCACCCCGGTGTTCTTTGCTGAACGCTTACCGTGTATATACGTGGATACATATATACCGTGTATGAATTTTGCGTTATGCGCCGCGTTATACCATGCCGTCGTCCTACAGTCGCGCGCGAGTCCCGACGGATTTATGAGGAAAGTAATACGAATTAAACTAACGTCTGCTGGGGCTATGCGTTGCGTAAAAAGAGATCCCTGCACTGAAATCGAATGAGGGTAATTTTCCATAATAAAATATAGCAAAATGCTTCACAGATGTATATAACAATTACTTTGGTGCGCATATTGTTAAGATAATTTCCACGTTAATTAGTTGCGTCTTGTGTCTATGTTGTATATGAATATTAAATTATATTTTGTATTAAAAATTACTTTTTAATTCAACAATTGTATCAATGTAAAAACAATCGCTCGATACTAGATTGTTAGAAAATCTGATCAGTAAGTATTCAAAAATAAATTCCTAAAAGTGTATCTATCAAAAAATATATTTTTAAAAAATAGTCCACAAATAATAATTATTAAAACAAAAATAAGAATGTGATATAGTCATCTGTAGAAGAATATGTGAAATTTATCGTACGCGAGATTGAAACGGGTAACACAATTCGTAGTTGTCTTTCTGAAGATAACTTATCCTCGGACGGTTAATTGAAATAAAAATAATTAATTATGTAGATTTTATTCTGATTTAATATAACTTGACCTGTGACCCCTCTATGATTCAGTCTGGACTGTGGATTT